GCACAGCAATGGGTCACCCACCTCAGCAGCCAAGAAGGGCTCTGGTGAGTAGCACCTACACAGAGAAGCTATGAGAGGCTCCCAATCCTCACACAGCTACAGCAAAGGCAGCCTAAATTCCCCTCACCAGGGCAAATACACCAACCTGTGACACTGACTGGCTACTTTCACCTTTTTGGTACCTCAAAAGAGCAGATAACACCAATGGTCACCACCATAAACCCCACACTGGGGCTCACCTCCCCACAGACAGGACTCACCACATAGAAGAAGGCACACAAGCAGAGGAGTCCTGCTCCCACCACAGCTCAGGAAAAGTGACCAGTGCTGGAGCTCCACCTCTCACAGGAGGAACCACTCAGCTGATGAGCCCTTTTAATGGCTGTGGTGTCAATCAGTGTTAGCAGCTGAGGCTGCAGGGCTGCAGCACACCTGGGTTTGGAGGCTCTCTCACCATGTCTCACCTGTTTGGAGTTTACTGCCCGTTTCCATGGGCAGCAGCAGGATCTCATGTCCCCCCACTGTCATCACTCCCCTTCATACTACAGGGCATTTTGGACACACCAGGATGGCAGGAAACACCATGGCATGTGTGCAGGGCTTTTGATTCTCTTTCAGCTCCATTTTCAATAGAGGTGTTTATCACCATTACTATCCCAAGTGAACTCAAACCCTGGAGGCATGCAGGAATGTGTGCCAGGAAGAAGGGATTTACAACAAAATTAGTTTCTTTTTAATCTCAGGTTTTTTCTCTTTGCACTCTGTGGATTTGTTTGACACATTCCTGACAGAGGCATAAAGCCTGACATGAAGAGCTTATGTCAGTATAACATGTTCAGTCATCAAGGCTGTGTGAGCACCAGCCCACATCTTTTCTCATGCTCAGGCTCCACAAAATGCCTGCTCCAATGTTTTTATATGCACAGACTCAAACTCATATGCTGCACAGTTGCTCCTACATGACCAATAACCTGGAATTCAGAGCATGTAAAATAAAATATAAGTCAAGTGGAGTAAGAAACTTCAGCCTTCCACCTCCAGAACAACGTGTTCATGGCTGGTCCTAAAGAAAAAGAACAAAACCAGGCACAGCACCTACTTTTCTTACTTTTTATATAAAATAGACATTTACATACATTTTCTTCTGCAAAGACTTCGAGCATAACTCCTTGATGTGAAATCTAGCCATAAATCCCACTGTGAAAGAAGCAAAGACTTTGCAAATTCCTGCATCACTGACATACATCCAGCTGCTGCTAAGAATGAATTTATTTTTAAAATATTTCCAATCCACGGGGCTGTTTTCTTGTGGTTTTGTTTTTGTTTGGTTGGTTTTCTTCTTTCTTAAAAAGATATGCACAGCTAATTTAAAAAATTAGATACAGAAATAAGAACCATATGAACAACAGGCAATGCAAACAACTTCTGCATGAGAGGAACACGCAGCGTGACATTCACTTCAGGCAGAGATTTCTACAGTAATACAGTCGTGTTACAGCTGTAACTTTTACAGAGGATACCACTGGGGGTATTTTCCAGAAGAAAAAATTCTCAGCAAGTCAGTACAAACATGGCAATGAACTTTTGCACAAAGTTATCAAGGTTACCTGAAGCAACTTTGCCACATTAAAACACCAGTGAATGCCAAGCGCTGTTTTTTTTCTTTTTCTTTTTTTTTTTTTTTTCTCTTTCGCTGCTGGGTTTAAATGTACATGAAAGCAAAATGGTGCATTTTGAAATTGCTGCAAGAGACTGAAGGTTGGGGGAAAAGCCCTCTAAGGGCTAATGTTTTGAAAGATTGTGCATAATTGCATATATGAAAGATAGAAATTGAGCACTTGGTCAACTTAATCACATAAAGATTGAAGAGACTTAAGCATACACCAGCTGTTTCAATGACCTGGAGGACAAGTGGGGCAAAAGACCATATAATAATATTCTAAATTGCTTAATTAATAAATTAGACTGACCATTATCTTCTTTCACCAATATTGTACACCGTATCTGGCCTGATTTCTGTAACTGTGGAGAGTTACAGAAATAGTTTTTAGATCATTTTAGGGGCATCCAGCCTCGCCTGCAAGTTAGGCTCTTTATTTTGAATTTTTTTGACTTGTACATCTTTCTACTCCCATGCATGCATGCCCAGCCCCTTGTCCTCCTCTGGAATGAAGGCCATTTGCACTGCTGCATTCACTTACTGTTTGGCCAAAACAAATTGCCTGCACATTTGTAGGAAAATCTAGTCCAAGAAGTCCATGAGAGAAAGAAAATACCCCCCACTGCATCATTTATCCTGGGGGACAGAAAAGGGATGGAAGCAGAGAACACTGGAATTTAAATAAGCAATAAAATAAAATCCATCAGCTGCAAATATTATTCATGGGGAAAGGAAAAAGCAACACAATTATTATGTTTCTCATTTAGGATTAAAATGTACAGTGAGTACATCAGAGTCCTGTTTAACCAGCTTTCCATTAATTCTCTGCTTTAAAATTAGTGAGCACTGAGGTTTATCCAATGAAACTTGCAGAGAGCATGAACTCTCCCCCACCAGGCAGATCTGCAGCCATTTATTAATCTGCAATCTCTGCTAACCATGCTGAGCACTGCAACTGGTAGAAAACAATGTATTTATAACTCTTTGTTTTAGAAGCTGTGTGATGCTGGAGGAAGAGAACATTTCCTATGATTAATTAGGATAATATAAAGTTATCACAAGGTAAGTTGCTTGATTTACCTTGCACAATTGCATTCCATGTTGGTGGAGGTAACCCATTTCATATTATACTCCATTCTTTGCCTGCAATAAACCTTTGACATGATTGATGCCCTGAACAAACACAGCACTGCAGCATGGGTGCCAACAGGACAGGGAGTCAGCTCAGAGCTTCACAGGGGTTTAACTGCTTTGGTAGCCCATGCTCTGAGCCATTCTCCCAGTCTGCTGCCAGTTTGCAGCCTGTCATCCTGCATAGATGGGGTATAAAGTGCTGGTCCAGGAACATGGGGTTCATTATTGAGCTCTCCTCTCTGCAGAACTACAAACCCAGCTCCAAGGTGTGGAGGGCCGGCCTTTGGGCACGGAAATGCAAACTGCTGCCACTGGCATTAAAATCCCTGCCTATGTTCATTATCAGCCTGGTTCAGGCAAGCGGATGTGCCTTGCCTTCCAGTAAACCACCTCTCTTACTGGGGCATCTTTCTCCATTTTCTCCAAGTAAGACAGTGTTGCACAAATGGTAATCAATCCTTCTCTAGCATCTGGGAGGAGGGCATCCAAAGCTGCATTACACTTCTATACATACACAAGTTTTAGGAGGTCAGGATGGCTTTGATCAGATTTTAGGACAAGCAGGAGACAGTAATTTCTACCAGGTCCCTCAGGAAAGACAAACTAAGATTTATGCTGAAGTTAAAAACATAAAACTAAGTCTTCCCCCTCACAAAGCATTGCTATAAAAAATACAACTTCTGTATTTGAAAAAATATGTTTCATTGGCCACTATTTAAAGCCACAAACTGCAGTGAGGCCTGTATAATATATATAGTATTTATTTAATACATCTTTTGAGGCAAAGTTGATAGCTGATACACATTTTTAAAGGAGGCACATCTCCCCCCATGCTACCCACTGACCTTCAGCTGGCTGCTGGGGCACTCTGCAGGTGCCTCCTCCCTGGGGGCTTTGCATGGTACCCCTGTCAGGGCAGCACCAAACACTGTTCTGCCAGCCCCAAATTCACTGCAGCACAGCCAGCCTGGGCACACAGACCTTTGGGGAGCTGTCCCAGAGACAGGCTCACCTTGGGGACAGGTATAGAGCTTTCTGGTCCAGCTACCTCTGAATATCCCAGCAAGGAACCATCTGTGACCTTGCAGTGCATGTTGGGGAGCTGATTGCTGTCAGAGGCCATTTCAGCTTTGGTGTCCCCATCCCATGGCACTGTGCTGGCATGATGCCACCTCCTCCAGGCCATCCTGGCAGCCCAGGGGCGTGCAGATCTACTGTGTGCAAGGCAGCCAGCAGAGCACCTGCCCTGGGGACCTGCAGAAATGAAATGTTCAGCCAGTCCACAGCCACAACAGCTGTGTGAAAAAACAAGAGAGGGGTGCTGAGCCAGCCCCAGGAGCTAAACCTGTCCCTGGCCCCATGAAGTGAAGTAGGCTGCTTGGGCTGGGAGCAGAAAACTCAACAGTGAAGCAACTTGCTTGTTCTGATCTCAGTGCTCCCCTGGAAGCTGGTTTGGAGGAGAGAACCCAAAGATTTGTGGTGCCACCTCTTCTCCCCAGCAGTTTTTCACTGCTGCCCAGCTGTGGCTGGCTGCTCTCCTTGGCCAGTGGGGCCCATCCAGCCTGGTCTCAGTGGATGCACAGCCATGGCTCTGGCAGGTCCATAAACCCTGACAGGGCAGACAACTGCACCACCTGGGAGCTCCAAACACAGTTGGAGTCACATCAATAATTCCTCAGTAACCTGACCATCACCTGTGCAGCAAGACACTGTTATTGCCAGGCTTGTCAAAGGAAGCCAGCACAACCTCAGCACATGGCTGAGCCATCCCACTGAGGGAACTTGGAGAGTGCTGAAGTGCCATGGACAGCTAAATCCGGGCACCACAGCAGTGCCAGGCTTTTCCTGACAGATGTTTTTTTGGGCATTGTACACCTACCTGAACTGTACTAACAATGCCAGACCCCGGGCTGCTGGCCACAGTCAAGCTCAAACAAAACAACTTTTCCAGCAGTTTAGTGCTGCAAGAGGAACAAACTGGTGACTGACCCTGGTGTCCAAACCCAAAGGCAGGAAGCAGATCCCATTAATGCTCCCTGGGAACTGGTGCAAACCCCAGTGGAAGCAGCAGAAGTGCTGCTATTGCAGGGCCAGTGTGGTCCAAAGTGCTCTGCAGTCACTTAGAATGAGAGGGAATTATTCCAGCATGCCTCATTGGTACTCCCTTTTCCTAATATGAGTCCCTTTTCAGACAATATGAGTCACAATGCCCAACCTTCTGGTCAGCTGTGAGGGATATTGCCCAATTCATATAAAACAGAGAAAATATATATTAATTATTTGATTATTATAAGTTAAATAAATAAAGCTCAAAAATAAAAGCCTCAGTTCTGAAGAGAATCTGTTTTCCCACATCAGTATTTAAAAATATAGATTTATGACTGATCAGCTATAGGTCATTTTCTGTATCTCTTAGGGGAGTGGTGAGAACACTTTGGCCAAGTATTTTGTCAGTGTTATCACCATGATAAATGGGCTTTGTCCCTGCACATCCATAAAAGAGCCTCCTTCGTACCTTTCCAGGCTAGGAAATGTTCCCTAATCTCCCTGTGGCTTTACTTTACCTCCTATATTGATTAGATAGGTTGTTTGTTTTCCATACTGGGGACTGAGCAGGAGGACAAGTAATCCTAGAGCTTCCCATTGCCTTTGGATGCTTCAGTTTTTTTCAGAGTAATAATTATTTGGCCTGGAGGGAGAGGGCAAAGGGTAAAGCCATATGATATTTGACAAAAGTGACATCATGAACCTGAATTACCACAAAATTATTGTCTAATGAATAAAACATTCAGGCTAGGTTTTCCCTCAAAGGATCATCTGTCCTACTTGTAGAATCATCCTTCCAGGGTGACATTTAAATAGTTTCCCCTTTCTTTAGAGTAATTTTCAAGTCCCATTTGGAGCTGTAAAAGCGACCACCATTTCCTCAGCATTAACCCCTTGGAACCTTTTTTATGTGACCATTATGACCATCTTTCCTGTCTGCAGCACTTGCAATGAAGCCCATCAGTGGTGCTCTACATGGATGAGGTGAGCCTGTGTGTGGAGGAACAGGAGGTGCTCCTTCACCCCTGCTGCAATGGATGAGTGCCTTGTCTCCATGGTTTCCCTGGTGACAACCAAGATACTGAAGGTGCATGTCCCACCCACACTCCTGGTGTGACTAGAACAGCCTAGGTGTAAATCTTGATTAAAGGAAGGTTTTCATTCATGCTCCAGCACATCCCACAGGACCCAAGGATCCCGTAGGATCCTGTAACTTTGATTGAACCTAAGTATGCATTCCAAGTTTGCCTTCCATAATTCTGAGTCCTATCAAAGCTCTTTCAGCATCACTTTGAGCAACAGGCTTCCACCACACTCTTCTCCAAGGGGCAAGAGTGTCCTCCTGCTGGTGACTGATTGCTATGTTTGGTCTTTCTCCTGGACTTCTTGAAACCGTTTCTCCAAGCGATCCAGCTTGGCCAGATTCTCCTTCAGCAGCTTGCTGTTTGGAACCAGCTGCAAGGCTTTCTCGTAGTAGTCACGGGCAGTGATGTAGCTCCCCTGCAAAGAAAATGAGTGGCAGGTCTCATTCCCATTCCACACAGAAAGTTTGTTCCCAGGGTGAAGTGAAAAACAAGACACAGGGGAAACAGAGTTTAAAAAACCTGACATTGCTGGGTTACAAAAATAATTCTTCTTTATGAAATAGATCACCAAATGTGCTGTTGACCTAAATTTGATGAAACTCACACAGCAAGAAATAGATTTACTTTTTTTTGTTGTGTTGCACTAGAAGAGTTAATTTTACTCAGCAAGAGGATAGCTTAAGGACATCACACAATGTGACTCGTTAGGACCCAAATCATAATGATATGCTAAAGTATTCAAAAGAATAAGCAACCACAGGGCAGGCTGCCTATTTCCATAATTTCATGCCAGTATTCTGCATTAGACATCTTTATTAAATTAGTTAGGTAGAGAAGAACCTTAAAAGTCAACTCAGGGTGACATTTTTCTAAGGTAGGTCAACAACTGAAGCAGGAAAGCTTTTAAGAGGAGAAGGTTGTTCCTTGCAGCCTGCACTCTAAAAATACGAGATCTGCTTTACCAAGCCACCTGGTTGGGAACTCCAGCTGGGGTGAAGAGACTTCCTTCCTTTTTGGATAAAATATGTCAAGGGACTTGCTGTTCACAAACATGCAACTCTTGTCAGTCTGAAACCAATTTAGCTTTCTGTCCTGTGTAGTAGTGTCTGCACCTGGCAGCTTAAGGAAAACCAAAACTGTCATACCTTGATGTGCTCAATGCCTCCCATATTCATCCAGGCCTGTGCTTGGTCTGGGTTGAGCTCCACAGCCCGTTTATAGCTCTACAGAAACAGGAAACATTTCTAGGTTAGGGGTCTGACTCTTCAAACAAAACCAGTGCTGGAGGGGAAAGAGAAACAGTTTCCTCTCCTGAAGCCATTCAGAATGGAATTCAAATTCCTCTCATATCCAACACATAAAATGAATTTCAGTTTCTTTGCAGAAGAGGCACAGAACGTGCTGCTCCATGGCTCAGCTCATCTCACAGGTTTTCCCTGCCAATGTGTGCTTTTCCTGCACTCTGAGAGGAGCCAACCTGCCACCCTGCCCCCTGCACCACTGGGGTCTCCTGCACAGCACGGTGATTTCCTTAGGAAGTGCCAAGCACAAGCCCAGCCAACTACAAGCCATGTGATTGCTCTTTATCTGCAAGGCTTTAATTTGGAGCTGGCAGCAGACTCTGGGACAGCCACTTGTGTGGAGGTCTCACAAGGACCTGAGGGCAGTGCTTTCCTTCCCCACTGACACTGAGAGGGGGAGAAGAAGCCATTAGGACCTTCTGGAGTCTGTCAAGCAGCAGTGTTTTTACACTGTCACAACAGGAAAGGATTTTCAAATCAGGACTAAACGTCTTTAGGGATATTGAGAATATTCAGAACAGTCCAATTAATATTTTCTGAATCAGAGAATAGTGGAATGGTTTGGGTTTGGAGAGACTTTAAAGATTATCTACTTCCAGCTCCCCTCCTACAGGCAGTGACACCTTCCACTAGACCAGGTTGCTTCTGCACTATTATTAATGCTAACACAATTTCTGAGCTATCAAGCATCCTTCTTCACAGGATAAGCCAACCTCCCAGTTACTGGCTTCTGAAGTGATATATAACAACATGGTGAGCTCTCACAGGTCCCCAAGCTTCCAGCTGAGCCACCTGGAGCTGGTCACTGACAGCAAGAGGGGCTGGGGCTGGATGGAGCTAAGGTGAATCCCACCACAATTCTGTCCTTAACCTCTCAGAGCAGGGAGCAGTATTTCCTTTGAGGAATGAGGAAAAAAGTTGCAATTAAGTCTGGTAAAGTTAGCTGCCTCATAGCTTTCTCTGTATCAGTGACAGACTCTGAGCTCCTAAGGCCAACAGCAGCCAGGGTGTTGCACCAGGGAGTTTCACACACAAGGAGCAAACTCTGTCTTTTACCCTATAAAACCACCGGTAGGTCTTAGAGCAGTCATACCTCGAAAGCCTTGTCAAGGAGATTCTGTTCTCTTAGCTGGTTTCCTTTAGTGAAAAAGAGCTCTGATATGACTTTTGGATCCTTTGGTTTTAGCTGAAGCGCTTTTTCTATAGCTTCAAGTGCCTGTGAAAAAACAAGAGGACATTGTGTGCCTTCCATTCAGTGCCTTCCCACTTCTCATTCTTTCCTCACCACTATGGACTACCAGTTTAAGAATCACCTTCTTCCATCCCTTGTTTGCCCCACATCATTAACACACAGGGAAATGAGATTTTTAAATGCCTGTGTTGGAACCCAGGACATCCCTCTGGCTGTCCTGGAGGGCTTGAGCCCCTGGCTGGGGGCTCAGAGGCCTTGGCACAGAGCCAAAGACACCTGTGCCTTCGATTTTAACCCATGGAGAAAATTACCAACTTTATGTGAAGATCTACAAGCCACAAGAGTTTAAGCAGAATGACAGTTAGTTTGTCATAGGGTGGAAAAGTAGAAATTTGGGGTTTTTAGAATGGGGGTTCAGAAGCCAAGATGGAGGGATCTGGGTGTGCCTTGTCCTTCCTCTTTCTTCTTCTTAACCTCCATCTTCTGTGTGATGGTGGCACTTTTGAATTGGTTTAGAGTAGGAACACACTGTCTAACATAGGTGATAAGTATTGGAAAATTATTGTAAATAAATTACACATAGTTCTTAGTATAAAACACTAACACACCTCAGGGGTGTGCAGTGTGCCACGGAACAACCTGCTAGACAGACCTCAGCGCGTCAGAAAAAGAATGAATCGATAACAGAAAATAAACAACCTTGAAAACCAGAGCCGAGGAATCCTGACTCCTTCTTCAATTGTGGGGCTGGGAAAAAGAGACTTTCCAACATCTCAGGATCTGAGACAGCCTAGCACTGATGGGCACTGGGGCTGACAGCAGCAGGAGGTATAAGTGATAAGAAAACCACACTGCTTAGCTTCAGTCTTAGTACATAAATAAACTGAAGGTTTTAGTGAAGAAATAATCTATCGAATGTGCGCTGAGGCACGTGGCTTCTCCCCAGAGAGACGGAGTGTAAAACTCAACCTGAGCCCCGTGTGTGAGCCCTTGGGACAAGGCTATCCCACAGCATGGTACCTTGGCATAGAGCTCCTGCTTGCTGTAGATGGCTGACAGGAGGCGGTAGCACTCCAGGCACTCTGCATCCTCGTTAAGGATGTGGTTCGTCATCTTCTCCGCCTCCTTCGTCCGCCCCATCATGGCCAGAACCTGAGCCTGTAACAGAGCCAGTGTTACACTCTTGAACAGCTGTCCCAGGGTGATGTTATGATGCTTGTATCCCTGATGCTGTTCATTTAGGGGATCCCTGGGGGCCCCCTAAGCTGTATGTTCACTGGTAGCAGCAGGCAGGCAAGGAGACTCCACACAGCTTCTGAGGGTGCTCATTAGGTGAGGGTTTATTTGGGGTGCCACCTCCAGGAGCAGCATGGTTTCTGAGGGAGAAGGGGGAAAGGGACAGGGAGGGAGAGCCTAGGGAGAAAGGACCAAGAGAGCAAAGGGCTAAGAGAGATTCTCATCTCCCTCGCACAGTTTAACAGGGAGATTCAAAGTGGGCACGGAATAGACCTGAGCCAATGGATTACAGATCCATGATACTTCAGGGGAGGATCACACACTTGGAATAAACCCTACATTTTGGAGGGGTGAGACAGAGCATACCATTTAACTAAAATGTAACACCACATATCCCCAGTCAGGTGTTCTGTTTATGCTGGATATTATATTCTGTACCTGAGAGCAAAGGTGGGGAGAAGAAGCAGCAGAGTTTTGTTATCAGGGACTGGACTCACTCCTCCACAGTCTGCTGGAACACTGTTGTTTTCTGGGCATGGACAGGGCAGAACACCACGCTCCTTTTGCTTTTTAGTTAGTTAGTTTAGCTAGCTGAGGCACTCCTAGCTTTCCCTGGCCTGTTTTTCTTTCCCTTTCCTTGGAACCATTCGAACCTGCTGCAGACCAGGACCTGGGGAAACACCAAGAACACTTCGCAGCCTGCCAGGACCTGCTCTGCAGCCCTTCCCAGTGCCAGAGGGACTGATAACAGAGCAACCACTCACCAGAGAGACTTTCTGAATTTGTCATCTCTTCAGAGCAACAAAGAGCTTTGTCGTGGGGTATTGCTCATTTTTTGTGCTGGGGAGTGCTTTGCCTATTAAATAAACAGGTTCTTTCCACTTCTCACGAGGAAATTTTTCCCGAACCAGGTGTGGGGAGGGGACGGCATGGGTTGGCTTTCTGGAGGGGCCCCTTTGGGAAGTTTTCTCCCAGATTTTCCCTAAGCCAGGACACCATCTCAGCCCTCTGCCCCAGGCTGAGTGGGTGCTGCTGCCCTGGCCCCCGCTCACCAGCGCCAGCCGGGTGTCCTTGCTGGAAGGCTGCAGCGCCGCCGCCTCCCGGTACACCTGCAGCGCCTCCTCGTAGCGCCCCGTGTTGTAGTACAGAGCCCCCAGCGGGGACAGGATCTCCGCCTTCCTGGACACCTTCAGCGCCCTGGGGGTGGGAAAAACGCAAGCTTCAGTCGTGGGAGGAGCAAAGAGGAAGAGCGAGGTGGGCTTGTGGTGGATGGAGAATCAAAGCTCTGCTCCATCCCAGCCTGGGAAGGACAAATCCCCGGGGGAGGGATGAATGTGCTCACAGCAGTAATCCCACCAGCCAGCTGAGAAGGAGAAGGGGAAAGAGGGGGAAAGAGGGAGAAAGAGGGGGAGAAGGAGGGGGAGAAGGAGGAGAAGGAGAAGGAGAAGGAGAAGGAGAAGGAGAAGGAGAAGGAGAAGGAGAAGGAGAAGGAGAAGGAGCCACCTTCAAAGTGCCCTCAATGAGCCTGCAGCAGGGGTGGGGATGGTTGACAGTGATGAAACCTGGGCAAGGTGAGCACAAATCCATGTAATACTCCCACCCAACCCATCCTGCTGCATACCAGGATTCAGAGCCTGAATGCTGGAACACTGCTGGGAAGGACCAGAGTTCCTAATGGTGCCAAAGGTTTGGTGCTGAGCTGTGCAGCACTTCTGGCTGTTCCTGGTGCAGCAACCACAGACCACCTTCCAGCAGGCTGGGAGTTGTGCTAATACAGCCTGCTCCTGCCACCGAGAAACCTCCAACTTTATCAGAGCATCCCCCAGCCAAAAGCAGCAGTGTCCATCCTGGGGGCTTGGGAATAGTCCAGGGATATCAACACTGCCTGAGCCCATGCTGCTTTTCCAAGCACTCCCCAAAACCAGCCACATCTATTGCAGACAGATGGAGAATGAAGGGAGGAAACCCCACACATGCACCAATAAATCCACATAACAGAAATTCTTTAGCAGAGACAAGCCATACAGAGCCAGAAGGAATCCCTCTGTGTCCCAGCCCAAATCCTCACCTTTTGTACCACACTTCAGCCTCTTTGTTCTGCCCCAGGGAGCGGTGAAGCCTGCCCAGGTTCACCATGGCCACGTGGTGAGCAGGGCTCAGGAGGATGGCCTGCCTGTAGTGGGACATGGCTCTCTCAGGAGACCCTAGAGAGGAAAACAGCCATTAAACCAGAAAAAACCCTGTGCAGCAGAAAAAACCTGTCTCAAACTCAGCACATGGTAACATTCTGGCTTTCTTTCTTCTATTGCTCTATGCATGGTGTCATGGGGTGACTTTATGATGCTTGTAGTATCCCCATTTGTCTGTTTAGCCCAGAAATAAATTTTGCATCTTTAAGACCATCTGAGAGTGAAGGGGGAGAAAGAAGGGCAGAGTTTGTTATCAGGAACTGCACTTGCTCACCCACATCCCTCTCACAGACTGTGTTGTCTGCAGACAGCAAGATAGGGCTCTCCTTTGCCTTTAGTTAGTTTTTAGCTTGCTGAGGCAGAGAAGTTCCCTGGACTGTATTGTTTTTCTTTTCCTTGGGCCTGTTTAACCCTGCTCTGGACAGGACACCCAGCAGAGCTCCAGCAGCTCCAGCTGTGGGCACCGGGCCGGGCCTGGGCCGTGGCATTTCCAGCCCTGGAGGGACTGACAGAGACTGAGTGAGCTGAGCTACTGCCCACCAAGGGACTTGCTGAGTCTGTCATCTCTTTTGGACTGGCAAGAGGTCTTATTGTTTAATATTGTACATTTTTTGTGCTGGGGAATGCTTTGCCTGCTAAATAAACAGGTTTTTTCCACTTTTCTACAAGGAAATCTTTCCCCAAACCAGTTGGGGGAGGGGCCACTTAAATCTGCTTTCTAGAGGAACCCCTTTGGAGGTTTCCTCCCAGATTTGCCCTAAACCAAGAGAGCATGGAAACATTTTGAGAAAGAAATCCTGCCTCAGCATTTTGAATCTAAGCATAAGAGAAACTGCTGTCCAAACCAAGATTTAATCCCCAATATTCAGAGACAATCCTGAGAAATAGATTTTCTAGGGGTGGGTTTTTTGCAAGTTAAGGATCCAGTCACAACAAGATGACTCCTGACTGAAAGCACCCTTTGATCATGCAGCAGTGGGGACACAACCCCTGTGCTAAGGACAGAGCCCACCTCAGGGAAGGGGCTGGGGCACATATGCCATCTTCTGGTGGAGCATCCTTTTCACCCTGGCCCACTGGAGAAATGGGCAATGAAGAATGAAGAATAAAGAACAAGCCCCCAGTATTCCCCAAATACCACCAGAACTGCAAATAGTTTCAGCTCTCTCCAAACAGAGATTATTCCCTCCACCTCTGCTGTGCTGCTGCTCTGAGCTCCAGCTCAGTCTCCATTTATTGCTCAACAGGACTGGGAGTAGCTGTCAGGGACCAGCTAATTCCCACTCTGGGCAATAAATCCCAGAGCAGAGGTGTCCAGGTGGTTGTTTTGGAGCCTGCAGGCACCATCTCTGTGCTGCACGGGATCCATTGGGTGGCACTGCTTCACTGTGTGAAAATGTGCAAGGTCCTGCAGCCCATGACATCACCAACACCACAACAAAACACAAGCAAAAAGAGAGGTGCAAGATCACTACCCCAATGCATAAAGTTCCACATTTAATAATGTCTTTTTATTTAGCTAAATAATGATAGAAGTATAAAGTTCCAGCATTACAGCAATGCAAATATTGCATTTTTAATCCCAGGGTGATTTAATTGGCTTGCAAACTCCAGACCAGATAATCTCCTGATGAAAACCAATACTAAAAGAGCTTTGTCCACACCAAAACTTTTCAGTGTTGGCATTTTTTTTAACTGATTCACTTCACAATGTATTTAATTCCATTTCAAGCTGGAAAACAGATCTCAAAAACAGCCAGTGCATGTTGGGGCACTGAACATGCTGCTGTGGGAATTTTGTTTTCATATCTTCACAGATCTAGTTTTGTTTTTTTTTTTTGAGACCATCTATGTAACTAACATATACACTGGCACATCTCAGCATGTCCTTTACAGGAGTGAGGAGGAACATCTGTGCAGAGGTTTAGAAGTGTTGAAGACTCACCCAAGGCTGAGGACATGTTGTTCAAGGTACCACTTTTTCAAAACATCCAGCAGCAACCTCAATCTTTCCCCACCACTGAGCAGGCAGATGTTTTTGAAAATTATACCTACAAAACATCCTGGGAAGCAGCTGGGCACGCACTGCAGCCCCTCAGCCAGGCAGCTCAGCACACAGGGGTAATGTGCATCATTAAGGGAGACACACTCAGTGTCTGTGAGCACTGCAGAGCTGTCTGGAGCTGTGGCTCCCCAGAGCTGGCACTGGCTGCACAGAGCCCTGTGAGTTAATTGCTGTGGTGCTCCCCAGCATCTCCCTGTGCCGCCGGCACAGAGCGCAGCCGCTGACAGGCTCAGCAGCAGCCCCTGCCTTCACGCCTTGCCATGCCTCTAGCAGGGTTATTGACACATCAGCCCCCAAGGAGCAGGAGTCAGTGGGATTTTTTCCAGTTGTTTGTCTGTAGGGAAGCGTAGGAGGAAACCAGGAAATGATAGTTTTGACTTTGGCACAGTACGAAAGTGCAAAAAAAGAGAAAGTGCTCTGCACTGCATTTGAACCACAAATTTTGGCAGGAATAGGACAGTTTATCTGGGTTGGCAAGCAAAGATGAGTACAACATGAGAGGGAAATTACTCAGGAATTTTTATTATTTGCAAGCTTGAATTTTGCCAGGGCCCAAATTCAGAACCTGAACCTCTCTTGCTAATGCCATGATGCCTCTTTTGATTATGAATATTGATTCTGGTTTTGTATTTGTTTCACACTGGTACTACAGAGGGGTGATGGCCAAGTGTCAGGTCAGAGGCAGAACAGCCAGTTGCAGACTGACAGACACCATCTCCTTTCTTCCCAAGCACCACTGGAACTGGGCATGTGTGATGGGGAAAGAAGGGGTGGCAACCACACACTTCAAGCCTACACTGTTTCACCACTGAGTCTTGGCTCTGTTCTGGAGGGACCACAGTGAGACAACAGTCCCTTTCCACCAGTCATTTGTCAAACTTAGCTTTGCTTATAAAGCTGTCAATAAAAGGTGGCAATTAAAGTGACATTTCTGTTGCTGTTATGTGAATGCCAGAAAGTGCCAAGTAAGTTGGATGGGAACCAGAAGCCCAGGAAAAAAGGATGCCATTACAGAGCTCCTCAAAAATCAATTCACCCCACAGTGTATAAGGTTTTGTTTTCACAGATTACTGTGGTTTAAAAGCCATGTTGCTTTCTATAGTGGTGGCACTCAAGCCTTACAGTCAAAGAGCTGCTTTGTCACCAAGTAGGGCTGCACATGCTCCAGAGACCATAATGATCCATTTGTGTGCCTGTGATTTGATTTGATGTGGCCATGCCTTGCTGGAAAAAAAGGCAGTACTGTCAGGGTGCTGCCCAGCTCACACTGAAGAGGCCAAATGCCTGTGTGAAGATGGTGACAAACACTGAGGGGAGCAGGGGGGCTGAATGACGCCCCTGCTGCACAGTGCCTGCACTGATAATGAATTCCAGTGTGCTGTGCCCTCTCAGCAGCACAGGGATATTTATTTCCAAGCTACCATGGAGGTACATCTATTGCCTTGGAAGCTTTTGACACCCTTTTAGATGTGTACTGCTGAATAAAATAAACCAAAGCAAAGCAGACAGAGAGGGAAAAATCCCGTGCTCCCTCTCACTTACCAGTGTCAACCAGGAAAACGCCGTAGTTGTTGTGCAGGTCAGAGCTCTCTGGACAATTCTCTATGCCAGCCTTATAGACCTCCTCAGCCTCCTTGAGCCGTTCCTTGAAAGAGAAGGAGGTTTCTTAGGCATGGCAGAAACTCTGTCAGCACCATTTGCTGCATTCTGGGACAGCTCCATCACTGCAGGGGAAGCCTGGGGAGCCCACACACCCACCCCACCTTCCAAGAGGCCAAAATTTGACCCCATGGCATGGATGTGCTATAGAAGCCACCTGGTATCCCAGAGCAGTTCAGACAGCTTCCCCCCATGCCTCTGCTACCCATGAAACACCTGCAAAAAGTGGTGCCTGTGCAATGCCAGTGGAAACACCTGGAAAAAGTGGCGCCTGTGCAATGCCACTGAGTCCCCAGCTGGGTGCATGCACAGCCAGGAAAAACACAGCAACAGGGATTGGAGCTGGTTCTGTTGAGAAAGATCTGTCATCTGGGAGAGGATATGTTCTAATTTATTTGTTTAATGAGCATCTCACTGGCTAACTTTTCCCCTCTGGAGCTCTGCTGTTCTTTCCTTAAGCAGTGAGGAAAATACAAGGAATGAAAGCTTGCTGTGTGTGATGGCTAGGGAGTGAGTGCAGGGGGAAAAAGGAAGCAGGAGAAAGATAGAGGGTGGTGAAAGAGCAGGGAAATCTGACAAATTCAGAGGGTGGTGAAAGAGCAGGGAAATCTGACAAATCAAATTAAAACCAGGCATTGTCAGTGTGTGAGGTGGAGTTCACTGGCACTGATGGGACATGCCACCATGCTGATGCCCCAGATGCACTGAGTTCTCATTTTGCATAGATTTTCAGGGAGGTTTGCTGGCTCTGAACATTTCTAGAAAATACACATCTTTTCTTTGGAAACACCCTGCCTACAGACAGCATCCTGCTGGCTGGGTTCTGTCTAGCCTGAGCTATGGGCAGCCTGGTTCTGAAACAACAATCAGGCTTCTCCTGTGGATCAAACAGCAACTAAAAAAGGTTTCCACTTCCCTCCACAGTCAGACCATGTGTGCCCACTGCCTGCATGTTCACCAGCAAGGGTGCCTTCCTTCCCCCCACCTCAGAGCCTGGCTGTCAGCTGAGCCTCCAGCACCAAGGATGCTCCTCTCAATTCTTCCCCTTCCACTGAGCAGCACAGCCCTACAGCAACAAACTCCAAACCTCCCAAGAAAGCAAATTCAGCCAAGTTCACTGAAAATTTACCTCCTTCACTGAGGAGAGCCTGCAGCTCCCATGATGAATCCACGCTGAAATAAGAGGTTGCTCCACTCCCAGCTATGGACTGTCCTCAAAGCCTGCAAATGGCTGAGCCTCCTGGGCTTTCCCTGGATTTAAAATCTATACCTGACAGCAGCTTTTGCTGCACAGCTGCTTAATGTGAGGAGTCTTTTCTCACCTCCTATCTCAGAACTGGAGAGCTGGAATAAATTGCACTGAAAGAGGATGACTTGATCAGAGAATCACACAGCCTGCCACAGTTAAGTCCCTTCACATTTACATGATAAAGGTCAGCCAGCAAAAAAGATAAGTGTGCAATAAAGCACAGAAGTACGTTTTTAAAAAGTGCTTAACTTTGGAAGTTTTGGATAAATTGATGTGAATTTGACAACATTATCCTGCAGAGTCAGGAAAAGTGTAGTGATCATCAGAATTGACTAAATTGAAGAGCAATTTTTTGTGCATATTTTCTAAGATTTATGTCTTACTTTCTTTCCCTCTGCTTTTAATTTTCAGCCAATGAATGCAGCTTTGTATGCCTGTATGTCAGCTTATTTTATTTACTGATCATAAACCGAATTTTTTAAGCAAGGCAGGGCTGTGTTAAACTAGATTTGAGTGTTCCATGTCAAAACATTCACCAATATCAAGCATTCTAGCACTTTCATGGTGGTTGCATTGCTTTTTTGGCACCTAACATCCTGACCCTGCATGCCTCAGGCTCATTGCCCAGTCTAACAAAGTGTTTGCATTAAGCACAGTCAGAAAGTGGCAAGGGTGGAACCTGCTATTCCTGCCAGAGCTTTCCCTCCTCACAGCCTCTCCTCTTCTCAGCAGAAACAGAGCTCCAAGTTCATCAAGGCTAGATTCTCATTAACACTTAATAATGCCACTCCCAAACCTTCATGAAACATTCATCGACCTCACAAAACTCGGAAGACTGGCATAAAAAATGTATGAGATTTTTATGATATTAAAAAAATTATGCATATGAGAATCTTTCAGTTGAACTCCAGGGTTTTTAGGTCTGTTTTTTATAAGGCTCAGTTTTTCAGTTTGGTTATGCCTGAGTAGGCTCTCCTCTGCAGCTAAGTGGGTTATAAAGTTTCTTTTTCTAAGAAACCTACACACACAATCAGATGAAGCTAGGGCCTGAGAAGAGGCACCAAGTAGCACAAAATGATGGATGAAACTGAAGCTGGAAACTGTGGGGAACCAGTGTTAGAATGTTGTGAAAACAGGCAGCAAAAATGTTTGATTTCTGTTACCAGCACTACTGCAGTGATCACAGAAATCAAGGAAAACTGCAATACATTGCACCTGAGTTACAAATCCAAGCAGAAAGAGCAGCCAGAAGGGCAAGCATTTTTAAAGGCACAAACAAGCCAAGCTTTCCATACAATACAGCAGTGGGTTTTTGTCAGCTCTGGCTTCAGAATCAGCTATCAAGGAGAGAAAAAGGCAATTACATGAAATTACAGGTTAATTCCCTGGCATCCGAACCCTTCCTCTTAGCAGCACTTTTTACAGGGATAGAAGGTAAGGAACCATAGGCCTGTTTCAGATTCATCCCCTTTAACATGGGGGGAACATGCTGTGCATGGCTGTGCACCCACCAAGACAATCCTGGTGCTATTTCTCTCTGTCCACACATTTCCCTTTTAGCCTTGGAGCAAAGCTGGAGAAGCAGAAGCTGTCATGGGCACCTCATGCAAGTTATTTTAACAAGGCATTTAACATTATTATTTAACCCCCTTCCTATCACATCCCAGCAAGAGGGACTATCATCATGATATTTTCTGAAAAATCCCTTTGCCAGGATTTTTTCTCCTGGCAAGATGAGAAGCCTCAGCTTCTCCATGTTTTGCTGCTTTGGAATGTGATTTGAAAAACTGTTTACCCAGCATGTGAATTGTTTTAACTTAATGGCCAATCATGGTCCAGTTGTGTCAGGACTCTGGTCAGTCGTGGGTTTTTATTATTCATTCTTGTTTAGCTTTCTGATGTATCCTTTCTCTTTCTTTAGTACAGTTTTAGTATACAATTTCTTTTAATATAATATCATATAATAAAATAATCAATCAGCCTTCTGAGAAACTTGGGGTCAAATTCTCACCTCTCACCTCATCCTGGGGACCCAACACCACAACAAGGGATCCAGCGGTGCCATCCCCAAAGCGCAACTGTGATCCATCCTGTAATGCCTGGCCTCACAGATACCCCTACAGCTGTCACACAGGCTCTGGGCCACAAGGAGACGCAAAAATACTCCTTGGAATTTTTAGCCATCTTCAGCTAAAAGTTTTTATTGCTCAGACAAAGTGGAAAACCCAACACTGAGAAAAATGAGCTCCTGTCATCATCCTTTGGGCTGAAGATGCCAAAAGCTCTGCCTGTACCCCTGGAGGCCACGGGTAGCAACAGGTACTGTAGGACAGACCCTGATGGACCCTGACCATCCTGTGGTCTCCAGGATGGATGTGTGAGGCAGGAGATGCACAATCAAGCAGGCATCTGCTGTGGCTGATCATGAGGAAGTGTCAAAAGTCTGCAGAAAAATCGCTGCTTTCTGAGAAAATTGTACTAACTATCTTTTTTGCCTACCACTTACTCAAGTCACAAGAGGATGAACAATCCATATGTAAGAGAGATGAATTATTGCTGGACTTATTAATGGCATTTGTTTTGGGCAGAAGGTCTCAGGACTCTATAATGGTTTTACTGCTCTGCTGACCTCGCAATCGATCGTTCTAATTAATAATTTCAATTAATGTTAAAACCAGGTAATAGTGCAGAGGACTCATTTTCTATACTTGCAGGACACTCTTCATTGACAGGCTTATTCAAAGCAGGGCTACCATTCAACAAGGCTTGTCTTTAAATTCAGACACGATATTTTGAGATCCCTGCAGGTAATATTGATAATATTTGAAATTCTCTTAAAAGGGAAAATAAAATAAAAATAAAAGGGGAAAAAATTAAAAGGGAAAATAAAATAAAAATATAAGGGAAATATTTGAAATTCTCTTAAAAGGGAAAATAAAATAAAAAGGGAAAAAATAAAAGGGTAAATAAAATAAAAATAAAAGGGAAAAAATAAAAGGGAAAATAAAAATGGAAAATAAAATAAAAATAAAAGGGGAAAAATTAAAAGGGAAAATAAAATAAAAATAAAAGGGAAAATAAAATAAATAAAAGAGGAAAAAAAAGGATGCAATAACAGAGCTCCTCAAAAATCAATTCATCTTTCAGTAATTCACATACATCACAGGTGAGTTTTGCAGAGTGCCTACATCCTTGAAGAAGATTAAACAAGACCTCTGCCTACAGTTTTGCTGAAATTCATCCCCTTCCCTTACACAGAGAAGATTTCACTAACCAGAATAATGGAAAACAGCAAAAGATACCATTTTGCTTTGTCTATATTTATATTTTAAGAAAGCTTCAGCACCCCATCTATGGAACAATTAGATCTGAAAACTGAAGGAGGAAAAAAATTCAGTTTTCAAAAGGTTTGCAGAGTTGTGCTGGAGTTGTGCACTTACAGGGACCTTGTCATCCACCCCCAGAGCCCCAGAGTGGGAGCACAGCACAAATCACAGCATCCCTCACCTGCTGCTGCTGCAGGTGTGCAGGGAAGGAGAGCTCAGTGGTCCCAGTGTGGGCACTCACGCCCCCATGACTCCTTCTCAGCTCAAGGATTTTGTTCCTCAAGTTCTCTTTTCCTCTGTGGGGACAGCATTTCACCTCACAGAGATGTTGCAGAAATAAATTATCTAACTCCAGCGAGTAGGGAGAGCCTGAGTAATGAGCGTGGGGAGCAGGCCTGGGAGGAAATGAGTAATCCTGCCTGCAGAGCACAGCCTGGGCCATGCACAGCAAATAAGGCCTGGAGGCACCTGAACCACAAGGTTAAATAAAATATTGAACAGCCACTCATTAAGAGCAACATAAAGCCAGGGAGCTTTCCCACCTCGTGAGCATCTACCACAGTAATCAGGGCCTGTACCCTCTGTGTGTGTGTGTGTGTGTGTGTGTGCGTGCAAGGGGCAGAACCTGGGCTGCAGAGGCCACCTGGTTTGTGACAATCCCCAGCTCTGCAATGATTTATTATGCAATCTCCAGGCTATCTGTGTAGGCGTGTGTGTGTGAGGGGAAGCTCGCCTCTCCTGCTGTCACAACATCCAAGGTGCCATGGATTAAGACTTCTCCACAGAGGCAGGGAGGGGATTTACTCACAACTTCAGCAGTGATTTAATTCAGAGCCACACCACGTGGGTGCAATTACTCACTGTGGATGAGTTGCCTCCCATCCTGGAAAAGCCATCTGCAGAGCAGCCTGAGAGCTCTGTGCAGACAGCGTGGGCCCACGCCTGCCACCATGGCTGAGTGAGGTGCAGGAGAGGCTGTGGCAGCAATGCAGGGTGGGAGGTGCAGGAGGAGCTGTGGCAGCAGTGCATGCACACCAAGGCACAGGACCTGAGCCATCCCTGTTACCTGCTCAGCCAACAGCGAGGCCAGGCTTGAGTAAGCATCTGCAAACTCTGGGCCGTACTTAATGGAGTCCCGCAGCAAGATTACAGCTTCCTCCTTCTTCCCTTGGGACCTGCAGGAAGAAGAGAAAAAAACCAGAAAGGAATATTCCTGTAAGCACTTGTTGAGGTTATCCCACTGATTAACTACTTTAAAGAGAAGTGCAAGTGCCCGGCTTGCCCTTTTCAACAAAGACTAAATGATTCATTCGCGCCTCCTCTCCACAATGTGAGCACCCAGCATTTCCTCAGGACAGAGGATTCAATGAATCAATACACTCCAGTATCTGAAGGGAGGGCACCAGAGGATGGAGGCACTGTGATCTGGGAACAGGACATTCCCTCTCACTTCAGTAGGCTGGAGACACTGAAATCCTTCATTTCCTTTACTAAAACCTTGAGGAGACTCTGCAGTTCCTAGGCAAGTGCTCTTACAGATCCACTTGCAACTCCATTATTTTGAAGTTAAAATATCTCCAAGTTAAATGTGCCTGGGATCTCTAAATAATTCCTCAGCAAGTCGATGATTAGGCTGGAGGAGTTCTGTCCTTCAGATCCCAAGGATTATGAACAGAGATAGCTGAAAGATGGCTGTGCTGATGAGCTAGGTTTTTTCCTAGCATTGCTCTGCATTTATTGCTATGGAAAATGGAAAAGATTTCCCTAACAAAAATCTTGGGATGTTTATTTATTTGAGCTACAATTTCTCCCCTTTGAAAAATGAGAAGGTTTCCTGAACAAACATCTAAGGATGTTTAGCTGGGCTGAAACAACATTTTCCTTGTGCTGGGTGTACAAAGAATACGAATAGGAGGGTTTAGAAAAAGAAACAAAGGGCTCTGGGGAAACAGAAAATATGTGAACACCTTGCTGCTTTGGCCTTAGATTTCATCTGAGAGGCATGGTCAAGTAACCAAATCTTGTTTATAAGGTGCAAATTTCAGCTGATAATATATGTGGCTTTGCAGATTTTTCCCCTTTCTAGTTGTGTAACTGGAAGAATATTTTGCCTGTGCATTAAGCTAAGTAAAACCAGTTGTGCTAGTCTTTTTCTTCTTCCAGTGCTGTTCCACATAAATTACACGAATGAAGCAAAAACAAATAAAGAACCACTTTTCTCCTACACTAATTAAAGTCTAGCTAGCTTGTCAATTTATAAAACTTTGGGATCCCTTGGCTGGAGTTTCATGACACACATTTTTATAAATCAAAACCAGATGACTGCTTAATAAAGGTATTGATGTTTGGCAGAAAATGTAGGAAATGCCCGCTACAGAAATAAAAGGATTAAGTGATCCACTCAACAGCAGTAAAAGTTCCCATTAACCACAAGCATTCACTCTGAACATGGGGCAGCCCTCTTAATTACTCTTTCATTCCAACATGGCCTCTTTTTTTTCTCCATTTGAACCAAGAACAATGTTTGCCTCCTGAAAGTGGGGGTAAAGAGGGAAAGATTATGGCATCTTTTTATGTGACAGACTGAATCACATTAAAAAAAGCAGATCCAGTAGTTTCTCAGAGGGCTTAGGCCTGCAAGATACCAAGTGCTCTGGCCAAGCACTTAAATGTGTACTTAACTTTTATGCATGCAAGTTGAAAATTAATTACTGGTTGAAGTGCTTTCCTGGCTCAAGGCCAACCCTTTGCAGGATCAAGGCCATCTCATATAAAAATCTCCTGCAATTTGGGAGAGCACAGAGCATTGAAAGAGCAGTCCAATGCACTAATTTACCATAAACTGGGGATCTGGAGCAGGAATAGTTAGGTAATGTACGTCTTCACTGTGATAGAGAGAAGAACAAATTCATCTGACAGGAGCAATCTGTGACCACTTAGTCCAACTTTTTACCCAAATTACCCTGTTTTACAATGCCCTCTCTTGACTCCCTCTCCCACCTGAGCTCACAGCCTTGCCTCTACAAACAGCATGCTCAAGGAACAGCTCTTTCCACTGAGAGCATCTCTCCCATATTTTTGCAAGTTGGAGAAGCACCAGGTTAAACCACCCTGCCAAAGCCTGGCAATGCACAGGGCTGCTAGCACTGGAGCAAATTTCATGTGCAGCAGAGAGCAACCAAGGGATTAGTGCTCTAAAGGACTTGGTAACCTTCATCTTTTATTTTGTGAAGTTATTGAGACTGTACTAAAGCCTGAAACACAGAAATCAACAAAGGCCCCACAACTGTTTGAACAAATTTTTACCAGGATACAGCAAAGCCAGAGCCAAACTCTTGTAGAGGTGCACAATGACAGGACAAGGGGCAACAGATGCCAGAGTAGGAACATGGGACATCCTGATTAGATATCAGGAAAAGTATTTTTCACCACAAAGGTGGTCAAAGACCAGAACAAGTCACACAGAGAGATTACGGCGTCTCTGTCCTTGGAGGGATGCAAGATTCAGCTGGACACAGCCCTGAAAAATCTGATCCAATCAGACTTGCTCTGAGCAGCTACCTTGATCTCCAAATGATCTCTATGGACCCTACCTTATAATAACAACCTAAGTTATTTTTTTAATCTACCGTAAAACTTAGACTGCCAGAGTTTGTGGAGGTTTTTAACCAGTCTCCAATGTTATTGTGATACTGAGGGATAACTGCAGCACTTCATGAGACACAGAGTACCCTGCAGAGACCATTCACTATCACTCAACATCACCCCTCAGTTTGCTGCTGAAGGAAAGAAAGGAACATTTCACTAGCTAAAAGGTCTTAAATCTCAACACATTAATTTCTATCTGATGTTTTCCAGATAGATAGATGGATGGATGGATGGATGTTTTTCTATCTATCTATCTATCTATCTATCTATCTATCTATCTATCTATCCCAGACAGTTCCACAAGGCTGTGTCAGCACACTCACATCAGAAGCCTGTATCAGAGAGGGCAGACAGTCCTTCCTCTTCTGAATAAATGGCTTTGCTCAACTGGGACTAAATCACAACAACAAACACTCAGGACACGTTGTGTGTTTCTCCACACAATGTAAACTCAAGATTCAGTGGAGATTGTTTCTATGCATTTCATTTTCCCCTTGAAAATGAAGCCATAACACTCTCAAAAGCTTCTTCATAAGGAGCAGGGTACTGGATATTGCAGTGCTTTAAGTGTGGATTGATACACGACCACAAATAAGAAGGTCTTGTCCATTATTCTGGCAGCAGAAAGCTGATATTGATATTCAGCTTTCTGAAATCAAAGATTGATATTCATTTCAAATGTTCATAATATATTATTTCTTGTCTCTTTGCAGAAATACCCACAGTCTATAAATTCATGAGGTATTCTGAACAATATTTATCTGTGTCTCAACAAACCTGAATTTATACAGAGGGTCAAATACTCAAAACAGAAGAAAGCAGTACCAGGCTGCTCTGTGCCACTGATCACACAGACTGTGAAAGCAGAGAGATTTCTTACTTTTAGGTAGACGTCTTCTAGGTCTATTTTAAGTAAGAAATCTGCCAGCATTGTTTAATTATCTGCTCTCCAATATTTATATTAGGCACAAAAATGATGACATACAACTTTATTTCAGGATATGTAAACAAAACCAGAGGTTTATTCAGCCATTACCCTGCAATACTTCCTGAGAACATTCATCTTCTGGCACATAGCTGTCTTCTTTATGTGCAAACAGAAAATGGAAACATCATTTTTCATCTACGACTTCCACAGAAAATAACTTATAAATTCCACCCTGTGTCCTCAAAACAGTTTTTACTCAAGTTTAAATCACAAGCAATGGATGCTTAAATAGCTTATTTGCATGGAATAATGAAGGGCAGATTCCCACATGGCAATGACAAACCCATCCTTCCAAAATCCTGGACTTCCCTTCTCTCAGCACTCCAGAGGAGATGAAATCTAGGATGATCCATCAGATTTGCACACTGTGAGCAGGATGGGTGCAGGGAACTCAGCAGAATTCAACCGGGGCATCCCCATGCCAGACAATTTCATTCCATGTCCCAATACAAGCTGTGCTGTTATTGGACATGCCTTAAGTGTTGCACATCTGTCCCCTCCTGATCTGCCCCATGCTCTGAGGCCTTTGTAAAGAGGACAGAAAATGCTTTTATTGCTTGACCATTTATCTTCTCTCTGACATATATTTAAAAATCAAAACACTCTTCATAATGTCTCATAACACAGCCAGAAAGTAATATCTGTCTGTAATATTCTGCAGATTTCCATTTTATTTCATTTATTACCCATATTAAACTAGATTTAATATCAGCAGAATATTGGCTACCATATATGTGCACATTTTTATATATATATATGAAAGGATAATTGTAGACACAGGTAGAAAATATAAATAAAGACATTGTTGTAAGAAAGGGAAATGTGAAACCTCTGCCTTGTACCTGTCTGGTCATCTCACAAGGTCCCTCATGCTCCAGCATGGCTGATATTCTTTGCTAAGCTGCTGGATCATCTAGGAAAGGTGCTGGCCAAAGGGTTTGGGATCCTGTTTTAGGGGAGACATTCATATAGGATCTGCCCACGCAGCACCTGCTTTATGTATGTGCTAATTCCTGCACTGTGAGCTCCACCTATTTTTTAGCAGTTTTTTTAAAACTGAGCAGGGAGATGAAGGCACTCAGCTTCCAATACAATTAACACAAGTGCTGTGTGCAGATGCACTGCATTGTTTTGGAAGCCTAAAGGAAGTTTAGAAAATGGGAGCAAATGGAAGTGGGGAAAGGGCAGGAGGACCCTGAGTGCTTGCTTTTGACAAGTTTAGCACAAGCATCACACACATTTAACACACTGCAAAATGTGGCACCACAGAAGGATGCAGAGCACATACAATCCAGCAGGACACACAATATCTTAGGCATCACAATGTGAAAAACATGACATATTGCACAGAAACCAAACAACATTTCTAAGACATTTTCCCTACATGTCTCCTTTGTGCTTTTCCAGTGCAGCAAGTCCAGTTTTTATCCATCTGCTGGGTCACAAGAGCCCTTTGACAGGCCAGATTTAAGCATAATTGACTTGAAATGTCCCAGCGCTTCTTCTGGCTCAGATCCTTTGTATTAATATTTTACATTTTAAAAAAAATCTCCAAAACGTAACAGAGAATAGTAACTAAGGTACACATGATGGATTTAAAAGACAGTATGTATTTTTAAACACCATTGCCACCTAAAATTAATTTCAATCAATCAAATTTGATGAATAATACAAAGACCTTTCTTTTCTCTTGTAACAAGACTGTACCACTTTCCTTCCTTATATTTCCAGTAAACTTTCTATTTAAGATTACTCATTTCCCATATTCTAACCTCAAACCAACAGATTTACTTGTAAAATTATTCTGATAATTTCTCTGCTTCTGAACAGACCAGGGAGTTCAGCAGCCCACTTAACATCCTTTATACAAATCCACACTCAAAGTTACATTTCAGGACTAGAAAGACCAAGTTTTAATGACACAGTGCCACTTTAAAACCAGACCCACACTAAGCCTGTCACAGTTTAACCACCACTGTCTGCTCTAAAAGATTTACCAAGACCTATTATCAGCAAAATAAGGGCAGTTCATATCAGAAAAATGTACTTTTACTGCTGTAGTTTATGCAGTTCTGTCAGCAAATACACCACAATATCCTCACAAAACCAAGGACCTTTTTGCTGGTGCTAAACAGAGATGTTTTACTTTTTATAATCGAACCCTTTGCAGATCATGGCTTCTTGTACAGATCTAAGTTTAGTCTTTAGATGTGGTTAGTCAAATTAATTTGCATGATTATGGTTGTCTGCTATTCTCCTTGCTACAGGCTGACACTCTAAAACAACAACAAGTGAAGTAATGAGCTCATCAACTTGTTTTTAACTGTTCAGGGATGTAAACCAGCCTTCCCCTCAAATCCAGACCTACCTGCTCTGCAGGGGAATGAACTCTGCTGCTCTGAGCATCTCACCACAAGGGGTTTATGCCCAAACTATACATATACAGCTAATGAGGAGAAGTGGGAACTTGAAGAGAGGGATTTTTTGGATATGTGTTATTTATTAGCTTGGCATCTGATGCCTACCTTTGAACAATACAGCTTCCTCGCCTGGAAATGTTCACACATCTCCACCAGGATGGGGATCTCAGGTGCCTAGGTGGGTTTAGGCAACTCATTTCTGATACCTGGAACAAATGAATTTCCTACAACTGGAACACACTCGTGAACAGCACCCGGAGTGATGTGGCACAACACAGAGGGATATCCACAATAAACCACAACTTTGTGCCAGCACTTTTGGATGGCACTAAGAAATGACACCATTTCTTCACCAGCTAGCAGAAAAAACTACTTTGGTGATGTGTGTAGGGGCAATGTGAATATTCTTGGTGCCACACCTGCACTCAACTTACTTGAGCAGGTTGCCGAGGTTGAAGAGAGCTCGGTTGTGCTGGGGGTTGAGCTGAAGGGCCCGTCTGTAGTAGTCCTTGGCCTCCACCACGTCTTTGGTCAACGTCCCCAGGTTGTTGAGAGCACTTGCATGACGCGGGTACAGCCTGCCAAAAATGGAACAGCAAGTTACAGATGCTCATTCATTAACAAATAAAGCTGATGTGGCTGACTCTGCCACCAGTGCTGTTTGGCACTCAATAAAGGCAAGAATGTCAGCCAAATAACCCTGTTTTCCCTTAATTTGCTGCAGGTCAGTTGGGATCCTAGGGACCTTTTCAACTCCCAGTCAGGTTTCCTATGGTTCCTATACATCTCCAGGGCAAAATGGAACATTTGGAAGCAAATGGAACAAACTGAAAACCTATCATACCCTTCAAGCAAAAGACATAGTGACTAAAGCAGCCTGAATGTTTTTATTCAAAATGCTTTTGCAACAAGCAAGAACTGCCTTGTCAAAAAATGTTTCCATTGGAAATAGGTTTTGATACACACAGAATCCAACACAACACTGTTTAAAATTATTGTTGGGTTTTTGACTTTTTTTTTCACAATAAAACTGATAAAAAAGTGCAAAAGGAAACCTGAAATCAGCTGCTGAGCAATGCTTTCAGGACCAAGCAAAATGGTAAAAGAATTTGGAACCAGACTGCTTGGGAGTATGAATTCTCTAAGCTTCTTGTAGCATTTGGTTCAGCACAGTTCTCCTTTTATCTGACCTGTTGATCTTCACATCTGCCTGTTTCAGTTACATCACTGAGCCCAATGCATCTCTGTTAAAATTCTCCACGAATTAGGCAGCAGGTCATGGTCCATGCAGCAGTTTAAATTCTCAAAGTTCTGCTCCTACATTAATATTTTAGTCTGTAGGTCTTTTGCCAGAAAACTCCAGAGGTGGAAGTGATCCAGAGCTTGGTGAAAGCATCCAGGACCCTTTGTCTGATAGGTAGGTGAAAACTGAGGGTCATTATGATAAGGAAATAAATTTTAGACAGACACCCACAGAGGCCCCTGGAGACCAGCTGTGTGAGAAGGTGTGAGGCTCTGAGACCAAGGCATCTGACAGTTCTTTGCCTCAGGTCCCTGATCATGGGAAAGTGATGTGGAAAATGACATTAAAAGTAGTTGGCCATGAAAGCACAGGGTACAGCATGAGAAGGGGCATTTAAAGGTAGAAGGGATTAAGATTCTCTAGTATAGCCCGACTAAAGTTTGCAATTGTTTTTAAATTCAAGACTTTCCACTGTGGGTATTTTGCCTGGAGTTTTTCACCATGTCAGTTCAGCCCTAGGATTTTCTGTGCTTAAGTACCATGAATAATTTAGCATTTTATACACTTCTGCAACATTTGTATCAGTCACAATTTCACTCCACAGCTCATAAACTATTTTGGCAAGGTCTTATTTGGGGGTGAAGCCGGCAGCATTCAAGGGAGCTCTGGGAGAAATGGGCATGAACCACTAACAAAACCAGGATGTTTCCTACCATTAAGTAAGAGAAAAAGCTCAAGTCCTTTTTTCACCTAGCAAACAAGGACTGCAAAGCCACACATTTGAGGAGAAATTGTTCAGGGATGCAGCCAGGTGTTTTTTAAAAACTTGAATCTTGAACAAAGAACCTCTTAGGGCAAATGACCACAGGCTCAGTCGTTTCCCATTTCTTCCAAGGGACTTTGACATTGTTTTGGACCAAGAAAAAGGTCTTGGAGTTAACTTTTTCAGCCTTTTTTACCAAATGGCTATGATAAAAGTGTGCACTACTTCTGTCAGTACTCACACATAAAACAGCTCCAGTATTTGACATGAAGTCACCTGAGTTATGAGTGGGCAAAAGGATTTCAGACAACTCTTGGAAAAGTCAGAAACAGATTAACATTTTACAGCCCTAAACCTGATGGTTTTTCTCTCAAACGTTCAGAAATTAATTCTGTTCTTGGCCTTTAGTGCTCCTGTGGCATTTTAGGCCCAGGAGATTTGCTTGCACCAATTTGGAGTGGAATGAAAACTCAAGATTAAAAAAGGGAATAGATTTCACCTTTAAATTGCACAGTTCTGACCAGCAGCTCCATAAATACACTTCTGAGCTCAGTGCTAAAACCTCCCAACAGCAAATCACAGGATGCAAACACATCTCCCATGTATCCTGGGCTCTATTTCTTGTGTTTTACATTTATTCATTACATCTCATTGCCCTTTCCAAGAAATGTAAGTGAAAACCCAGAACCTCAGCAAGCACAAATTACCTGCTTGGCATCTGGCCTGAAGAACTTATGACATCTTCAATTTTACATGTCTGAACAAAAGTTACCAGAAATTCTGACCACAGCGAGATAAGGTGGTGCTGTTGGGCTTTGCTGCTAGGGTTCAGCTCTTTCATTTCTCTCCAGATATTTTATTTGGAATATTACTTTTTTATGGTGGTAGAGCAAGCTGCCACTCAACTGAGTTCAGCAGAACAACCAGGCCTAAGAGAGCATTACCTCTGAGAGCCAGAGTCTGAGCCCATGACCATCCATGCTGTTACAGAATCATTGAATGTTTTGGGATGTGAAGGACCTTAAAGACCATCTGTTCCAATGCCCAGCCACTATGGACAGGGACTCCTTCTACCAGACCAGGATATTCAAAGCCCCATCCAACGAGGCCTTGGACACTCTCAGGAATGGGGCATCCACAGCTTTTATGAACAGTGTGCTCCAGTGCCTCAACATTCTTACAGTAAAGAATTTCTTCCTAAAATCCCATCTAAACCTGCCCTCTTTCTGTTTATGTTGCTTTCACACCACCCTCAAATAGCTCCAAGGAGTGGTCCAGGCCTCAGCCCAGATCAGGGTTTGGTCCCAAAAGCCAACTTGGACTTGGCCACTGTCTCTCAGAGGACACAAACATTTACTGAATACTTCCAGGTCCAGTTATGCCAGTTGACCTCAGGGCCAGAGAATGTGCACCAGATCATTTTAAATTTATTAATATGGATATTGAGTAAAGGACTAGCAGCCCTATTTAAACTGCCCTTTGTTCAGGCACACCCACTGCTGTTAACAACAGTTCCCTGGGAGTAAAAACACAGCAGAACAGTCTTGTGGCAGGATTTATGCAGGAACACAAAACTTGACCACAAGCTACCAAATGAAGCAACATTTACTCAAGAACTTTCAAAATTGTTCTGCAAGACTTGCAGATACACCAAACTTGTTCGATTTTTTCTTGTTGTAATGGAGGGAGACTCATTTACTTCTCCTGTTCTGAATTATCAGATTTGTGCTGCTTATCAAGACTTCTGGAATTGATCTCAACAAATCCTGATATTCAGTTTTAACTTGTTATGATTGTAAGTTCTCTAATGCAAACATTGTCCCTTCTCCATTCTTCATTCATATGAAGAATGTATTTATTTCTTAGAAGGCTTAGAAACACATACCAAGGCAGGAAGGTCTCCAATTAACCTGGAGTCTCTGTGCCACAATAATGGCAACACTCAGAATCCAAACTTTATTTTATACGCCATCACTCTGAATATACTGGGATGCAAAAGATCAATTGTTGGCTTATCTAGCTTGTTTTGCAACTTCTCTTAAGAAACAAAGCTTTTTATCTGGACATATATAGGGCTGTGTTTTCCTTGCCACCACCACTGACAATGGTAACAATCTGCAGGCAATATCCTTCTTGCTATGCATCTGATTAGGTAGAAATTCCTCTAGGCTTCACCTAATCAAATGCAAGTGCTGCATTATTTATGAAAGAAAGCTGAATTTCATTAAACTTATTCTACAAGTAGCAGTTCATGTAAGAAATCAGTTTATCCTTTCCTTTAGAATTCAGAATAATTTTCTTTAAAAATCTACATTCAAGGATAATTATAATAGAAGTCTTGAAACAGCAAAATTATGGGAAAGCAACCTATAAAAGTATATTTTAAAGCAGATGGAGATTTCATTTCTAAAGAGAAGACAAGTGGGTTGCTTCCTTGTTGTAGAATGAATAATTCAAATGATTCCTCCAATGCTGTACCTGCAATTGTCAGAATAAATTTCAGCAGCCTTCCCTTTAACTATTACAGGTATAGACTGCACAAGAACTCCTGTTAGTGATTATCCCCACTTCTTTTAGGTTAGCAAAATTCTCTCTAATACCACTGAACAAAAGCCCTACTGACTTGCACAGCCAAGAGATTTCCAGTTTCCCAAGACAAAACCAAGTATAAAACATACACAATCATCAAAATGCTGATGACCATTTATTCTGCTTTTTCATTTAATGCCACTATTACCTGAAACATGAGGGTTTTTGAAAAAAAATTTGAAGGGCTTTGTTTGGCTCCACATCTGAATTACAAGACAATTACAGAAAGGAGAGAAAGGGATGAAATTTGTTGTCATGACTGCAACCTATGATCCACCAGGAATTTTAATTCTTTTAATTCAGATTGAGAGAGAGACCACTTAAACAACTGGCAAGCCCTGCTCACAGCCCTGCCTGGTCTGGTGCCAGGGGTATTCAGGGGGAGGAAGGCATCAGTGCGACAACTACCCACTTGCTCCTCAGAGCATTTTGTGGTTTTTGTACAGCCATTGCTGTGTGGATTGCAAGCAGCAGGGGATGGGGCCAGACTAGCATGCAATTAACCTGGAAAACTACCATGGACAGCACAGAAAAAGCTGTAATGTCATCTTTCTGGGGTATGGGCAGCCCCCCACAACCACTGCACGATAAAAGAGGTTATTGAAAGCAGCCCAGAGACACTTCTCAGAGCTGGGACAGCCCTGACATGTCACGTGAGGGTGACTCTTCCTGATGCCCTTTATCACTCTCCAAGGGTTGACAACAAGCCTGTTGAAAGCACATTCCCAGTGACCTACAACATGAGTTCTTATAACCATTATAAAACTTGTAAGCAACTCTGGTCATCATTAATCCAACAGCCATGCCATGGCAGCAGCAAGACAAAAAAACTGCCTGCATCATCTTGCATAATATTCAAAGGGAGTCCAATCATATTAATTTATTTTATAAATTAAAACAATAAGTGAAAAATAATTTTAAAAATTAATTATTCAGTTGGAGAGATCTAGTGTGCCTGGTTTTTGTTAATCTATCTTTTGATT